TTGCACATTAGTAACCTCTATCTTTTTACTTGTTTTTTGAATTTTAATTGAAGGGTCATTAAAAGAATTAAAATTTTCATCATTACTACTAATTAATTTAAAAGTATATTTATCTAAAACAGGTTTATCTTGATTTAAATAAATATAATGTTCAATATATCTTTTGTCAATGGATAAAGCACGAGCTGCCGCTCTAATGGCATGATATGTAGTAGAAGTCTGAGTTTCTATATCAGTTACTTCTACTTTAATACCACTAGATTGATCAATTGACATTTTAGCTAAAAATTCAGGTAATTTAGTTCTTTTATTAATAGCTATACGTATTTTTTCTATAGTAGCTTCTGAATGTGTTCATCCCCTTCCTCTATTAGGACTACCAGGAGTTTTTAATATATTATACTCTGGAGAATATATATCAAAAAAGTGTTTTTCTCTAGATATAAGGTTATCAATCTTACAGAATTCTAATATAGTAAAACTAAAATTTTGGTAACCATATTTTAATAATGAAAGATATATAGGCATAGTTTTTTCATTTAATAATCTATTAACATTATAATATTCCAATAATCTACGTCTTAAGTTTACCGAGCTACCTATATATTTTTTACCATTTAATTTATTAATTCACAAATAAATCCCTGCTTTACCTTTAATATAATTAAGAATAGCTAATTTATCTTTATCAGCATTCGAAAATACTATCAAATCAGAAGAATTTTTAAAATCATTAATCTTTGTTGAAAATAATCTTATAATCTTTCTTTCATTACCTATGATTAAATTTAATGATGTTGATATTAATCTGCGATCAGATGATGAAAAATATAAACTATGTGATCTTATTTTGTTTAAATTTATTCTATGAGAATTTATAGATTTTTTTATTAAATTTTTAGTAATAAATCGTTCACAATTTTATCCTTTCTTTAAAAGTGTAATCTAAGGTACCACCTTGATTACCTTTTCTTTAAAGGTGTGTATAAAATAAACTTTAATATTAAATTATAGAAATTTATAATATAACTATTTTAATTTACTTTTTTCATAAAATATTATAAGGATAGGCTATTGTGTTATCTTTAATCTCGATTTACTTTATTTCTTCCGAGAACCGGATTTCCCGGCGACTAGAGTACACCTTACAATAAAAAAATATTGAAGAACCGTCTACTCGTTGCTCTTTTACAGCGTATACTATTATATTTAGCTGATTTAGATCCGCGATCACCCATTTCTATTACTAGAATCTTTAATGATATTACTATACCCTCAGTGATTAGCTGGGCCAAATAAGAACTTTACGTTTTATTTTTAGTTATTAAAGCTTTAGGGCTTCCCCGGAGTTTGATTCTTTTACACATTAAGTAAAAACCTATTTTTACTTTTATATGTTAGCAGCTAATCGAATACCTAAACTTAAAGCTCTAGCTAAATATGATAAGAATTCGATTCCAACTAGTAAAGGTACTAAACCTAATGGTGTACCTGAAGGTGCTAAAGTAGCAAAGAAACCTAAACCATATTTCTCAAAACCTATTATTGTAACACCAGCTATTATAGCCATACTAAAACTTAAAGTTAAAGCAAAATGAGCTGTAACTGAAAAACCATATGGTACTAAACCTACAAAATTAGAAAATAATATTAAATTAAATAATGCAAATATAAATGGTAAATATATTTCATATTCTTTACCTATTTGATCTTTTACTATAGATGATACAGATTTATAATATGATTCTATTAATATTATAAAATTATTACCTATTATTAAATTTTGTGATTTAGATGCCGTTTTTAATATAATATAACTAAAAATAGTTGCAATAAATAAATATAATGCTGAATTTGTAATTGAAAATGTTCCTAATGGACTTGATATGTAAAATAAATTTTGTACTTCAAATTGTTCTAATGGATTAAATATATACATATATTATATATTGTTTTTCTTCTTTTATTTTTATTAACCACTGCTGCCGCTGCTGTGATGGATTATTAACTCTAAAATGACTTTAATAACAATTACAATATATTGTTATGTATTATTTTAATGAAATACTGCTATTAATAATATTTAAATCTATTAATATATTTTCCTATGTTTATAAATTTACGGGTCATTATATATTTAAATAGGTTATTTAAATATACCGAATTTCTATAAAATGAAAGAATTATAGATAATTATATTATTAAATTTATATATATACAGAAAATTAGAAATAATATTAATAATTTATATATATAATATAGTAAAATATTATATGGAATAAAAAATGTATATATAGAGGTATTTTTATATAAATTTACATATATTTATATAATATTATTATATATTCTATTAATTATATATAATAATATTCTATTTTTTATATATAATGTTCTATTAATTATATACTATATATAATAATATGTTCTACTTATTATATTAAAATTAAATAATAATCTATTATTATTCAAATATATATTTTGATTAAAAGAAATATATAGCTATTAAAATATATATATATATTGAATTATAATCTCGGGTCACCGAGAATTAAAAAAGATAATTATTTTTTTTATAATATAGAAAACAGGGTTCAATAAATGGAACAATTAAACTATCTCATATTATATAGAAATAATATATAAATATAAATTCATGTTTAACTTGATTAATCCATAAATTATATAGGATTATTTTTTTTATAGCTAATTTTATATATTTTTTTTAAGTATATATTAAACAATTTATATAATTTTTAATAAAATATGGGTAAATATTAGAGGATATCTATAAATATGCATCAATAATTATCAAAATATTATATTTTACTAATAAAATTAAAATAAAAACCAATGACGCCATTTTTAATAATGATCTATATATAAATAAACCTTATTTTTGATATAACACCGTAAACGGAGATCTAGTAATTTAAAATATAAAAATCTTATATTACAGCAAATTGAACCAATAGGTTAAAAATAAATTAGAGTTTATAATTATAATAGTAAATAATAGTAAAATTATTATAATAGTTTTTAATATTAATATAGATCTATTAACTAAAAATATTAAAGAATTTTTAATTTATATAAAATTAATAAATGATATAACATTATTTATGAAAATAAATATATTATACCATATTATATATTTATTTTTCAATTTTATTATAATATCTCGAAGATTTAATTTATTAAATCACCAATATACTATATATGTTTATCTAAAGATATAGTAATATTAATAAATTTATTATAATTATTTATATGATTGTAATATATTTATAAGAAAATATTAAATCGATTATTTAATACTTTCTTATATATTAATAATATTATTAATAATTGTTTCTTGTATTTAATTTATATATAATGGCCCATATTTTCTTATAAATTTGGGTAGAAATTTTTTTAATTGAATAATTCAAGATAAAATAATAAAAAAATTTTTACGATTGAAGAATATTTATGATATAATATATAAATAAATTAAATACTAAATAGTACATATATAATAAATATATATATATAATAAATATATATTAACCTTTATATATATAGGTTTTATTACTATATATTAAATGGATTTTTTATATAAGAAAAATTTTTTTTAATTAGATAGTTATATTTAATATATATTAAATAAGAGAAATGGAATAATAGTTACATTTTTTATAATGACTCGTTATTTTTTATATATAAGGAATTAACCATAAATAAATAAGAAAGCCATCATTAAAGCAAATAAACCCATTGCTTCTGTTAACGCAAAGCCTAATATAGCATAACTAAATAATTGTCCTTTTAATGAAGGATTTCTACTAAATGATGATATTAATGATGAGAATACATTAGCAATACCTAAAGAAGTACCACCTAAAGCTAATACAGCTAAACCAGCTGCTATTAATTTAGCACAAGCTAACATTTTAATTTTGAATATAGCGTTTAAAACAAATATACATATATATTTATATATATTTATAATAAATATATATAATATAATTTACATTATATATAAATATATATAATATTATATAATATTATTATATATAGATATTATAATATACTATATATATCTATAATATTAATAAATAATATTTAATTTTTATTATTTAAAAATAATATTATTACTTAAAAATACTTTAATACCAATAGAACCATTTTTAGGTATTAATTTAAATTTAGATAAATTAAAAAGATTATTAGAATATTCACCAATACCTTTATTTAATATATTACTATATTTATAATCAATTAATGAAGCAGATGAATTAAAATGGAAAGCACCTTTAGAAAAAACATATTTTTTAGATCTACTAGCATTTTTTCTTTTCATTAATCTACCTTTTATAATTAATTTAATACCAGCAATATTAGAAATAATATTTTTAGATAAATATAATTCTTTAATTTTCATATAATTAAATTGTATAGGTTTAGAATTTTTTTTAGTTTTTCATTTAACTTTAGATGTTTTAATAGAAAAATATATATTTTCATGTTTAACATAATTAAATATACGTATAACTTTTTTTAATTTTCTTCATATTTTATATAAACTATATTTTTTTAAATTTAAAGCTAAATATTGAGATAATATATCACTATTATATAAAGGTGAATTTAATTTAATAATTTTTAATTTTAATTTAATACCTAATTTAGAATAAAAAAATTTTTCTAAAATATTAATACTATTAATATTATTTTCTTTAAAATTAATATCATATACAAATAAAACTATAAATATATTTATATTATTAGAATATTTATAAATAAATATAGGATTACTAATTAAATATTTTTTTTGAAAAAATATTTTTAAGATTTTCGTAATAATATTTTCTAAATTTATTCTATTATTAAAATCTAAATAAATTATATTTAATCAATTACCTATTTTATTTAATTTTAAACTATATGGATGTAAATATCCCATTTTTCTTTGATATCTTTCATTTCAACTCTATAGATATATATATATAAATATATATAATGTCGGATTAGCTTAATTGGTAAAGCAGTAATTTTGTAAATTACTTATTAAGTGTTCAAGTCACTTATTCGGCATTGGATGTAGCCAAGTAGGTAAGGCATCGAAATTTGAATTCGATATACAGGGGTTCGAATCCCTTCATCCAATATAGGCGGAATAGTTTAAAGTAAAACATTCATCTCATACATGAACATTAAGGATTCATACCCTTTTCCGCTATAAATTTTGCCTCGAGGATGACTCGAACATCCTACCTAGAATTTTCAGTTCCATACTTTTACCAGTTAAGCTATCGAGGCATATATAAGAGTATTGGGAATTGAACCCAAATCATGCAGATTAAAAGTCTGATACTTTACCATTAAGCTATACTCTCTTTTAAAGATTAGAGAGCGAATCGAACGCTCATAATTAGGTTTGCAGCCCAATACTTTACCATTAAGATATCTAATCTTGTAATATATATATAAATATATCATTTAGTGATTTTTATTCCAATTTTTAAGGCTTTGTAGCTTAAAGAAAGCAGGTATTTGTCAGATACCAAGTTGCCGTTTCGTAGACGGTCAAAGCCGATTGTATATAAAATAGAATCGAATGGAATTGAACCATTATTTTTTGCTTATCAAACAAATACTTTAACCATTAAGTTACGATTCCATATATAGTATTTGATCTCTGACGGATTCGAACCATCATGATGGCAATGAAGATGCCAAATCCTAACCATTAGATGAAGAGACCTGGTTTATTATTTTGCGAACGATTGATTTGAACAATCACCTTGAGATCATGAGCCTCATATGCATACCTATTACACTAATTCGCATATATAAGGAGAATAAGATTCGAACTTATATCTTTCCTGTTATGAGCAGTAAGCTTTACCATTAAGCTATCTCCCCTTATTATATTGAGAAGCCTGGGATTTGAACCCAGAATGGTCGAAACCATCACTTTTACAGAGTGATTGCAATACCAAAATGCATGCTTCTCTTTTGTTTACCCACTGTGCGACTTGAACGCACAAGCACATAGTGCAAACAATTTTAAGTCGTTTGAGTTTACCAATTTCTCCAAGTGGGCTAATTTTTTTATTTATATATACTTATATAGATTCTTATATATATATCTATAGAGTTATATATATATTAATACATATATATATATGTATTTAATAAGCCAGTATGGGTTAATTGGTAAACTATCCCTCTTCCAAAGGGAGTATATGCGTTCAAGTCGCATTATTGGCAATATATTAAAGGGGATATAATATAAATGGTAGTATATAGGTATTGCAAACCTAAAGAAAGAGTTCAATTCTCTTTGTCTCCAAAAAGTGTTATATAAGACTTTATTAGAAACCTTTTATTAAGGTTCATACATATATTTATATAAAATGTTATATATAGATTTATTTTTAATTAGTTTGATTTCATTAATCGCTATATTTACATTAATTTCTATTAATCCTATTTACTCAGTTATTGGTTTAATCATGGTTTTTATTTTAAGTGGTAGTTATTTATTATTAATCTCTATTAATTTTATTGGATTATCTTATTTTATTATCTATGTTGGTGCTATTAGTATTTTATTCTTATTTGCTGTTATGATGTTAGATACTAAATATCCTGAATTCTCATCTTTATTTTCAACATCTTTTACTAAACATTTACCTTTAGCAGCAAGTAGTATAATTTTAGGTGTATATATATTTTATATTATTTTAAATCAAAATAATATAGATATTATAGATATTAATCTATTTGAAAATATTAATGGTATACATAATAATTTTATTAATAAAACATCACTATATTATAAATCTTGAGATAATTTTATAATTTGTACTAATCAAATAAAAGTTATTGGATATTGTTTATATACTTCATATTCTATATGATTAATATATATTAGTTATATATTATTATTAGCTATGATAGGACCAATCATATTATGTTTTAAATCATTTACTCAATCTTAATATTGAGTAAATAATGGGTATCATCTCAAAAATGTATCATATAAATAAATTTTTTTTAATCTATATAAATGTTATTTTCAATTATTGAAATTTTATCAATTATTGTACCTATATTATTAGCTATTGCATATTTAACATTAGCTGAAAGAAAAATAATGGGTTCGATGCAAAGAAGAGTAGGACCTAATAAAGTAGGTCTATTCGGTTTATTACAACCATTAAGTGATGGTTTAAAACTTTTATTAAAAGAAACAATAATACCATCACAAAGTAATAAAGCAATATTATTAGGATCACCTATATTAATATTTACAGTTAATTTATTTTCATGAGGACCTATACCATTAAGTAAAGGTTATCAAATTATTGATATGGAATTAGGTATAATATATATTTTAGCTATGTCTTCTATAAGTGTAGTTGGTATTATTTTAGCTGGATGATCTAGTAATTCAAAATATTCTTTAATGGGATCTTTAAGAACTACAGCTCAACTTATATCTTATGAATTAGTTATTGGTTTAATTATATTAACAGTTATATTTATAGTAGGTTCATTTAATATTAATGATATTATATATGTTCAAGAATCTACTATATTTGCTCTACCTTTATTACCTTTATTTTTAATATTTTATATATCAGCTTTAGCTGAAACTAATAGACCACCTTTTGATTTAGTTGAATCTGAATCAGAGTTAGTTAGTGGTGCATTTACGGAATACAGCTCTTTTGCCTTTGCTTTAATATTTTTGGGTGAATATGGTGCTATGATATTAATGTCTGCTTTAACTAGTATTTTATTTTTAGGTGGATTTTTAATACCATTAAATTCATTATATAATGAATTTATATATATATCATATTTACAACCTTTATCTTTAGGTATAAAAACATCTTTAATTCTATTTGGATTTATATGAGTAAGATCTACATTACCTAGAGTTAAATTTAATCAATTAATAAGTTTATGTTGAAAATCATTATTACCTATAGTATTAGGTTTATTTGTATTAGTATTTAGTATATTAATAGTAATTATATAATTTAGAACGAGATATCTATAGATATCTAATATCAATTATTTATTAATAAACATATAAAAACATATGATTAATATTTTATATATATATCCATATATTAATTCCATTATTTATTTTATTTGGGTAGATGACTGAGTTGGTTTAAGGTGTTTCGCTTGAAACGAAAAAGGGTTATGAATAACCCTCATGGGTTCGAATCCCATTTTACCCGTTTACGGATAGTAGCGTAATAGGTAACGTGTCTAGTTTGGGATTAGAAGATTGTAAGTTCAAATCTTGCCTATCCGATAAAAAATAAATTTTTAGAAAATAAATAAATAAAATAATTTATTTAAGTATTATATATTATGTATACTTTTATTTTATATATTATATTTACTCCTTTATTATTATCTGCTTTAATTATATTAAATTTTATAATATCTATGAATAAACCAGATTTTTCAAAATTATCACCATATGAATGTGGAATGGATACAATAGGTACTGCTAGAGAAAAATTTAATATTCAATTTTATTTAGTAGCAATATTATATTTAATATTTGATATAGAAGTTATTTTTTTATTTCCTTTTGCATCTGTTATATATGAAATATCTATTTTTGGTTTTTGAATATCTACTATATTTATTATTATTTTAACTATTGGATTTATGTATGAATTAAGTGTAGGTATTTTAAATTTTTTAAAAAATAATAATAATTCCCTTTATTTAAATTAATATATAATATTAAATATATACTCATTTAGCTTAATTGGATAAAGCATCGATCTTCTAAATCGTAGACTAAAGGTTCAAATCCTTTAATGAGTATTTATAGGAAAAATCGCCTAATGGTATGGCAATAGTTTGCTAAACTATGGATATATTTTATCCTTGAGGGTTCAATTCCCTCTTTTTCCGAATAAAAAATCTATTAAAAGGGAAATAATTTAATTGGTAAAATAATAGTCTTCAAAACTAGAATTAAAGGTTCAAGTCCTTTTTTCCTTGTATTAATTATAAATATGAACATGTCCTACATGTTTATGGGAGTTTAGCTTAATTGGTAGAGCATTTATCTTACAAATAAAAAGAGGTTGTTCGAATCAACCAACTCCTATTATAAAAAAAATAGGGCTGTATATATATATATTAATGTATTTAACTTTATTAGTATTACCTTTATTTAATGGTATTATATCAGGTTTATTAGGTAGAAAAATAGGACAAAAAGGTAATTTCTATATAACTGGTATAAGTTTATCAATAGCAGCATTATTAAGTATATTATGTTTTTATGAAATAGGTATTAATGGTTCACCTATCGCATTTATACTTAGTAATTGAATTGATTCCGAAATATTAGAAATTAATTGAGGTTTATATATGGATAGTTTAACTATTTCTATGACTATCTTAGTTTTAATAGTATCTGCTTGTGTACATTTATATGCCATAGATTATATGAATGGTGATCCTCTATATATTTTGGGTTAATATTTTTATGGGGATAAATTATCAAATTCCGGAAACACCCTAAAGCTTATAGTACCAAACAAATAATATATGTGACTTTTATAATTACTCAGATATGGTAATAAACTATAAGATAATTGAAAGAGCAGTGGGTTATCGCGGATCTATATTAATATTATATCGAATATTGTAAAGAGCAACGAGTAAATGATAATTGATGTAATATTTATAATTTACATTTAAGATGTACTCTAATGGATTTCGAAAGAAATTATCATATCAAAAACCTTTCTAATCAATTAAATTTAAAACAAAATTCAATTTTTAATCTGTTAATCTTAATTTTAATTTGATTTAATATAAAAGGATTATTTAATATAATAATAAAAAAATATAGAAAAATTAATTGATCTCGCAATTGTGAGAATCTAATTAAAGTTTTTAATAAGTTATATTTAATAAAAATTAATAAAAATTATAATTATATTTAGATAATATAAGTAAAATATCATTAATCATATAAATTTTAATAAAATAAAGTAATAAACTTTAATGAAAAAAAAATAATATATTTTAATAAATATCTATTAAATCAAAAAATAATCAATCATTACATATTAAAACTTGTATAAGATTTAATAAAGGAATTTTATAAAATAAAGATTTTTTAATATTAATTTCTATTCATATTTATTAATTAAAGCCTATTAAATATATAATAAGCAATCGAAAATTTATTTTTATAAAGATCTATGATTTATTAATATTAAAATATATCACTGAATTTAGTTAAAATATTAGGTTTTATAAATGAAATAGTAAATTTTGATGTAATAATAGTAAATAAAAAAAAATAAAACCAATCAGTAAACAAACTTAATTAAGATTAAAAGTAGTTTAATATAGTAATTTAAAATTAATATAAAAAAATAAAAATTATTTAGAAACTGATAAAATATTCTAATAAAACAATTTTATATAATAAAATAAAGAGATATAACTAAAATAAAAATATTATTAAAATATCCTATAGAAGATGTAAAATAAAAAGATTATAAAAATTTATGAATAAATTTATAATTTAAGGATAACATTTAATATTTGAAGGTATAGATAAAATATTAAAAATAAAATTAGGAATAAATAAAAATAGAAAAATTTGTTAAGATTTAATTGTATGATAAATTTGATTGCATTGCATACACAAAGATTTTTTTCATATTTATCTTTATTTACATTTTTTATGCTATTATTAATATCTGCTGATAATTTTTTATTTCTATTTATCGGTTGGGAGGGCGTAGGTGTATGTTCATATTTATTAATTAATTTTTGATTTACACGATTAGAAGCTAATAAATCAGCTATGTTAGCAATATTAATGAATAGAGTAGGTGATTGAGGATTTAGTATAGGTATATATTTAATATTTTTAGTATTTGGTACATTAGATTTTGCTTCAATTTTTGCAATATCACATGTAATAAATGATGAAAATATTATAACAATAATTTGTATACTATTATTTATAGGTTCAATGGCTAAAAGTGCTCAATTAGGACTTAACACATGATTACCACAAGCTATGGAGGGTTTTTTTAAATGGGCCCTTCTAAAATTTTATAATATGCAAAAAAATTCTTTAAAAATTAATAGATCCGACCGGTGCCAGATGCCGCATGGAAAAATTCTATTAATTAGACAATTTGCAGGAAACTATGAAATTAAAAATTATATTTCAATGGGATCTTCAGAGACTATATATAAAATATATAATGATATTAACTCTAAATATATAAATGATAGCGATTTTAAATATTGATTTATAGGTTTTACAGAAGGAGATGGTTCTTTTATTATTAATAAGAATGGTTATTTAGAATTTAAAGTAACAATCCTCTATAGATTTACAAATTTTATTCTATATTAAAAAACAAATAGGTTTTGGTACTGTTTCTTTACAAGATAAGAATAATAAAACTTATCATTATAGAGTAAGAGACAAAAAAGGTATTTTAAAATTAATACAAATTTTTAATGGCAATCTATTAACTAAATATAAAAATTTACAATTTAAACTTTGAATAGAAGCTTTTAATATAAAATATAATGAAAACATTATATTTATAGAAAATAATAATAAATTTAATCTTAATAATACATGACTATGTGGTTTTACAGATGCAGAAGGTTGTTTTACTGTTAATATTATTGAAAGTTTAAAATATAATAGTACACAAATACAAGTAAGATATATTTTATCTCAAAAAAATGAGTTTGAATTATTAAATGAGATAGCAATATCATTAGGAGGTAAAGTTCATTTTCTAAAAAGCTATAATGGATATAATATGACAGTTAATTTAACTAAATTGAAACAAGTTGTATATTATTTTTCTGTGAATAAATTAAAAAGTAAAAAATATATAAGTTTCTATAATTGATTAAAAATTTATAAATTAACAATTAATAAAGAACATTTTAAACCTGGAGGATTAAATAAAATCCTAAAACAAAAATTAAATAAGAGTAATACCATTATATAAAGACATAGTCCTATCAAATACGAAAGTATTTGGGTATATTTATTTTATATATAATAAATATCAACAATTATAGCCAACACCTGTTTCAGCTCTATTGCATGCTGCCACGATGGTAACAGCAGGTGTATACTTATTAATGAGAGCTTCACCTATTTTAGAATATAGTTCTACTACATTAGCTATTGTTACTATTGTTGGTTCTTGTACAGCTTTATTTGCTGCTTCAATAGCATTAGTACATAATGATATTAAAAAAGTTATTGCATATTCTACAATGAGTCAATTGGCTCTAGATTACCCTGATCATATATTTTATGAAAGTGTAATCATAAATCAAACTATATGCGAGAAATTTCACATAATAATGTGTTATAATTCGCAGGTAACAAAAACTCGTAAGGATATATTTTGGATATATTCTTACATTAATAATAAATTTAATTTAAAGGAACGTAATTCCAAATTTATTATTATAAGCAAGTTTATAGGAACCTCAGAGACTATACGTTTGATATTAATATATATTATAAATAATCTATATAATATAATATATAAATTATATTTATTCAAATTTTATTCAATTTTTTATTATAATTTATTAAGTAATATATTAATAATTAATAATTTATTAAAGTGCAATAATTTACAAAATATTAAATTAGTACCTATAAAAACTATAGATAAAGATATATTAAAGAATAAAATCACTCTTCAAGAAGCGGATAATAAGGAAATTTTGAAAAATTTTAATCAATGATTGGCAGGTTTAATTGATGGTGATGGATATTTTTTATTAACAAAAAAAGGTTATGTTACTTGTGAAATCACTATGGATATTAGAGATCAAGGAGCATTATATGAAATAGTACATAAATATGGGGGATCTATAAAAAAAATATCAGGAGCAAATGCAGTTAGATATGTGTTAAGGGATAAAAAAGGATTAATAAATTTAATAAATGCTGTAAATGGAGAGATTAGAAATCCTATACGTTTATTACAATTAAATAAATTATGTAAAAAATATTTAATAAATTTAATAGAACCTAAACCTTTAACATATAATAATGGCTGATATAGTGGATTTATAGATAGTGATGGATCTATATTTTATGTAGATTCTCAACAACGAATTCAAATAGGTGTAACACAAAAAAATAAATATTTATTAGAACCTTTAATAAATTTATATGGAGGTAGAGTTTCTATAGTAAGTCCTAAAATAGATGCATACAGACATTTAATTTATAGAAAAAAGGAAATATTAAATTTAATAGATAATTATTTTACTAATTATCCATTAAGAACTCAAAAAAAAAATAGATTATTATTAATTAAAGATCTATATCTCTATAAAAAATATCGTAAATTTAATGTTAATACTTTAAATGAATATAATAAATGAATTAATTTAATTGAAAAATGGAATAAATATAAGGATTAATAAAGAAATAGTCCAAAACTTCTTAATTATTTCATAATAATATACGTGTGAAATATATTCACTATGTATAGAATCTTAAAATTTATATATAGTGAGAAGTTGTTGCAATTAGGATATACTTTTTTAGCTTGTGGTATTAGTCAATATGATATAGCTATATTTCATATTGTTAATCACGGCTTCTTCAAAGCTTTATTATTTATGTCTGCAGGTGTCGTTTTACATGCTATAAATGATGAACAAAATACTAGTAAAATGGGTGGTTTAATACATATGTTACCTTTTACATATACTGTAATGTTAACAGGTTCATTAAGTTTAATGGCTTTACCATTTTTAACTGGATATTATTCTAAGGATTTAATAATAGAAGTAAGTTATGGTCAATATTTATTAGGTGGTTCTATAGGTTATTGATTAGGTACATTAACTGCTTTTTTAACTAGTATATATTCAATAAAAATATTAATATTAACTTTTATGGGAACACCTAATGGACCTATATCTATATATAAACATTCTCATGAACCTTCATATATAATGAGTAGTCCTTTAATTTTATTAGCTATATTTAGTATATTTTTTGGTTATATATTTAAAGATTTATTTATAGGTTTAGGTACAGATTTTTGAGTTAATTCTATATTTATGTTA